AACTTGGTTAGTGATCTATAATTTTTAAACCACGGTCGTGCCTACGGTAATGACACTGAGAAATCAAACTGGGCTATTTAGGAATCAAGCTCTTTGGTGTACATGAATTCCTGAAGCACCAATATATATATATATATATATATATTACAAAATAAGTAGTATATGAATGACTGAACAAAATTTTCCTGGAAGCAAGCGACCGGTTTCACGGTTCTTACCGCTCGTCAGACTTTTGTTTTTTCGCTTTTCATTCATACACATGCACCCATAAAGTGTATTTTGTCACAACAACCTCATTTGCAACAACAGGTAGATTTGTTTGGACAGCTTTTGCAGAACCGGTCCACTGTTGAACCAATACTAGGATTCCATGTGGGTTAGACGCTAGTAATTGCAACAAACCTGACTTAGGTGTCTCCATAGAATATTTTACAATAAGCAGCATGCCTGGCGAGCAGTTATATGCTTCCAGGAAAATTCAGTTGAGTCATTCGTGTACTAATTTTGATATATATATATATATAATATAATATAAACAACATTCAAACAATAGCAATAAAACATGTGACAAGGATGTGGCAACATGAACTCTTGAAATTGTCTACAAATAATCCATTGGAGAAAATTTACTACAGCAGTCGCTATTGCTGTTTAGTCACTATTATATAAAGTAAATGAAATGTGGATAGGGATAGTGATATTTGCTCTGAGCCCCCACAATACAGTGCAGGCACACCTGTTGTCTAGATTGTCTCTACAGTCTCCGATCAACCAGATTATCTTGGCCTAATCAACAACTGAGTGAAATTCGATCAATATGAAAGTGCTAACCAAATCGATAAGTCACTTACAACACGTTTTCACAGGCCGGCAATCTTGTCACATTTCGAACGGATTGATGGAGAGAAGTACAAGCATCAGCATATACATAACGAAAAACACCTGATGTTTAACCGCATTGTGAAAACACAAACAGCATCTTATTAGGATTTTCACTGTTTGTGATTCGAAGATCGATGAATGTGGTGGTTTTGCGCAATGCCTCGTTTTCCACCGAACTGTACAAAAGTGTTTATGAATCAAATCGTATAAACACACAAGTGTTGAAGCACATACGCACCAATCAACCACATTGTTTACAAAGCGACAAACGAATGTAGTCTGACGAAAAATCGTGAAATGAATAAGCGTCTTGTGGTAAAAAAATGACAAAAACCTAACATACACTGACTCAGCGAATAACAATTACCCAAATGAGTTAGCTGGTCACTACGACAGAGAAGTACAAACGCCGCCCCGTCGTTCACACCGCTAGCGTTGCCAGCTGTGACCGTCCCGTGGCCCGCATCGTCACAAAATGCTGGTTTTAAACGAGCCAACGCTTCTATTGTTGTGTCCGAGCGAGGGAATTCATCTTTGGTAATCACAATCAAGTTGGCGCCCTTTTTTTCGGAAGAAGGGACCTGTGATACAAGGGGACAGAAAAAAACATATTTTTGTGAGCATAGAACAGTCCACTCAACTTCAATGGGACTAAGATTGTTACTGTCGGCATTTTTACGGAACACCATCTATAGCTGATGTAAAAGAATAGCATGTCGTGCATCTGGGAGTATAATGGTGACCACATCCAGTGGAGCTTACACAATGCTGTAGGTACATAATGTTAGAAACTAATAAACAAATGAATAAGGCGACACACAGAACTCAAACATAGAAGCACGAACATTCAGATGAAACGCGTGAACACGGTCAGTGATCGACAGTACGGTAAACTGAGAAAGAAAGAATGTTGATGAGCGATTGTTCAAACTCGTGTTCAATTCACGACTAAAAACGACAATGCACCAATCATAGAACTGATGGTAGAATCTGTCAAAATCACACCTACATTATGGAGCAGCAAAAATGCAGTTTAACTTTTTGCTTACTTTGACCACACCTCTATAGAAGGATCTATCGAAAGCAACAATTACATTCTTATTAACTATAGCAGTTTGGAGGACCTTGGTTAATCCAAGTAGTTATCTTCATGGACGGAACTCATGAAGGTTGCAACAATGATCAAGTTTATCAGTACACCGAATACGCGATCATCATCTATTCGCCTCCGAAGAAATTATATGATGTAACCAAGGGATTTTCTCGATAGAAGACAAAGAGATGCGTGACTCCCGACACTTGAAATAACTGTCATAATGAAAAACCGTTGTGCCTGCCAGGGTATCACCGAATCGTATTCCATGAAACGTTCCTTCAACGACAGTGGCAAAAGTTGGAGCGCTTATTGGTAGCACCGGAATAAATGCAGTCACTGAGGGAGAACCGTGCTATATTTATAAGGTTGTCCCTAGTCTAGATTTTTTCAGATAGTTTGAATGGACAAATTAGATTGCTGTATTTTGTCTGTTACGCTGGCTACTACAGATTCACTAACATCGAGAAAACGCTATTCCACGGCGTCGATTAGTCCCAATCCTTTCAAATTCACACCGTAAGAATTCTCAGGGTTAGGTTAGGTTTTCCTTGACAGGAACCTTGGGTCAAATTTCTGCTGGAGGCTAAATGAAAGCAACAAGGGAACACTGGCTGATTAATTTATTTTATTTTGTTATCTCAGCATATAAACGACATCAGAAAAGTAAAGTAAGGGATACAAACATTGTGGTGGTCCGGACGTCCGAAACAGCTGAGTTCCTGAAAGTGTGGCTTTATGAAGAGCATGCTGCAGGTGATAGAGCTGAAGAACAGCTTCCACATCTTTTACCACGTGTTCCATATCTCCAATCGACAACGGTCGAATTTGCGGCTGAAACGATAAAAGCCAATCTGTTGGTGTTGCTTGGGAGTACATCCGGGGAGATAATCTACATCCACAGACTCAAACTTCCTTGGAAAACTACATATTAAATACCAACTGTTCGAAAAGATAGTGATTCCTCTGGTTCGGAAACACGGTGCCACTTCCCTCATTTAGAAAGGTGGCTGTTGAAATGATCCAACGAACCACTGTCCAGTGACACTTCTTCCCATTCTATCAATTGTTGCTGACTTGATGAAGCATTTCGAGAAGTATAACGTTATCGCCAGTCCAACACGTATTCCGAGGAAAACGATCATGAACCACCACTAAGATTTCAAACTAACCACCTTGGCACTATTCAAGGATGAACATATCAGGGGACGCCTCATCATTTTGGTGCTCCAGAAGAGCCTGTTAAAGTGCTGACTTCACTCTTTCGGAGTCAGAGTATGTACTACCTGGAACTCTCTTACCTCAAAACTTATTTCTGTTCCAATTATCGATTCGATTAAGCTGCATCTCGATACAGAACTGAAGCAACTAACTTTCCATTACTCTTGAGTGGGTAATGATTATTTCATTGGTATTGTCATGGGAACCGAGTACGTGAAAAAACTATGGGATTCAATAAGTTTAAGCATTGTATTTTTGCATTATAAAAACTTTATTTCGGTTTATCTAAACAAATGATCAACTTCTTTTGTATATTAGACCTCATGGGTGCATTTCCTTACATACTGCAAAATACGGATGGCAAAATAAATGTTAAATAAATAAAATAACTAAATCTTATTAAACACTGGCTTATTGATAAGAACAAACATCAATCTTTCAAGTGTGAAAGTTTCCGCAGTATCAATTGCGCTGAACCCGATTCCACACTTTACCTGGCCCACTTCAATTCAACGTGCGCAATAAAATCAAAGTAAACAGTGAAACGGTCATTAGAAAATCGGAAAGCGAATCAGTCGTGCACTTTGCCAACATTTGACGAGCAAGCGCGAATCGGCATGCAAGCGAGTGAAAACAGCGACAAACAGAAATGTTCGAGACACTGACTTGCACCGGTACAATTTCAGCCGCGAAAAGGCCACCTCGCTCAGCAGCTGCATACTTTTCTTGCGATTGAAATGCAAACAGGTCTTGTTGTTCCCGAGTGATGCCATATCTAAAAAGACAAACGGACGTCTAGACCAGCCACAATTACCATTCTTCCCATCGGCAGACAGCAGACTCGGCATGTACGCGGTGATAAAAAGGCAACAATCTTGAGAAGATTACTCTGAAATTTGCGGGAATTATCAAGTATGGATCACAAATGTGAATGGGAGATACAACATTACACTAGGGGGTTAGGAATGTTTGTTGGTCAATTGACAGCCGAGTTAATGGAGAACCAGATATATATATACATGTAACCTTGCATTGGCTTGACTGTATCGCCTCAAAGTGGATTTGAAACAGCGCTACTGAATGGGGCAAATGGCAAAAGGTATTTCACTCGCGCGAAAGAAGCCTGTCCATCCGTATGGGAACTGCTTCTGTCGGACATCCATGAATCCGCGTTTGAAATAATGGTAAGATTAACAAACCGTGTAAAAGTTATGTAAACTATAAATAAAACCGTTTTTCACAGGTATACAGGCCCCTCAACAGAAGCGTTTCTTTATCAATCGAAGAGAAAAAGTCGGTTATTTTGATTACTGTTTTAACACCACTATGAACAAATCAAAAAGTAAGCGTCAATTACCTTTAATGGCTAGTGCTTAGCTAGGTATTGTAGGATGTCGAATAAAAAAAGACAAGGGGTCTTAATCGTACCGAATAAGCGGCCAGAAAGTACAGACCAATCATCATCATCATCGTACAGCGAAATACAGTGAAGCAAACTTCACTGATCGCTGCCAAACTCGCAATGCATACAAGATCAGTGGTAAAACTTCAGAGGAACAGGGATAAGAACTACCTTGAGGGAGGGAGAAGGCGAACCACTGTGGTCAACACACACATAGTGCACAATCCAACCCTGCACACATACTGTTTCAAGCATTCTGGCCTGGTAAGAAACGACAACAAGAACGCCACTGCTGTCGCTCCGCTAACATAGTCTTCAATGTCTCCAATCAACCAATCGTGGGGTCTTTCGAACTGCAACTTGGAAGGCGAGAGATAACTACACTACCTAATGGCTCTGTACATTTCCTCATGCCTTGTCTCTACGTCATCTGTTGACCTCCACGCGGTTTCCTCCAGCCCGGATTAGCTACAACGAATAAAGCGCGGTGCGGTAGACGATGGCTGGGCATACGCAATACGTGCCCTAGACACCGAAGCCTAGTAATCTGAATTTGGTATGCTAGCAGGTTTATGCCTGACAGATTCCCAAACACACGACGGCTTACCTCAAAGTCAAAGTCAAAGTTTTATAATGGGAATAGCTTACAAGCTGGTGCTTCTCTTGTCCCATAGGATGTTTACATAGATGAATCGTTACACATCAAAAAAGGAGTCACATA